AGCTGAGGACGTGCAGGGCTGCCGTGAGCACAGCGAGCAGTGGCGGCTTCGTGATGGCGGGGGCGGCTCGCTGTAGAGCCGTGCGTGACGTCCGGACTCGCCCGGCGCTGTGGAGAAACAAGAGTGGACCTGAGGCCCGAGGCGCTGACAGCCGCGCCGTGTGCCCGGCTAGGGGCCCGCCTCTCCGGGGAAGGGGGACTTGTGGGAGGGACTCAGCTTCCTCCAGCGGGATGCAGAGGAGCGACAGGACCTGAATTGTGCTGGAATGCGTGGTTGGTTTCACATTCCAAAGTCAACACAGTTCACCACGGAGAATCGCAGTTGGGGATACATTTGGGGAGGCGCGGCGTGGAGGAGCCAGCTCGCTCAGGTCGTGGCAGTCCAGCTTGTGAGAACTTGCAAGCTCTGCATGTCCGACGTCCAGCAAAAAACAAACGCTTGTAGCCGGACCCACACAGAAAATGCAGTTCCCTGTACGCAGATGTCCTGCGCACGAAAACTAGACGCCAAACCAGTAGAAAGTGGGCAAAAGAGATAACACACACCCTTAAGCAGGTGACAAGAAGTTCAGCGCAAATGGGAGCAGTGATATATGCCATTTTCCACCCACCAAATTTGCAGAGATCAAAAATATTCTCTGCAGCTGGACTCTGCTTTCACTCAGTGTCCAATAATATTCAATAAAATATTAACAAGGCATGTCAGGACCGAAAAAGGTGGGAAAACGGGGCGGGGGGCGGAAGGGGCAGATAACAGAAACAGATATCAGAGTTGTCAAGTTTTCAGGAAACTGTGATTAATGTGTTTAGGAAAATTTAACCACAAAAACTAGAATCTATTAAAAATTTTTTTTCCTTTTTCTTTTTTCTTCCATCCAAGTGGAAGAAATAGCATCATCAATCTTAATTCTTTTTTTCCTCCTTTTTTATGTTTTTGTACCAGGGATTGAACCCAGGCACACTTCACCCCTGAGCTACGTCCCTAACCCTTTTTATTTTGAGAGGGTCTGGCTAAGTTTTTGAGGCTAGCCTCAAGCTTGCGATCCTCCTGCCTCAGCCTCCTGAGCCACTGTGATTACAGGCATGCATCACTGCACCTGCCTAAATATTTTTTTTAAGAAGCAAGATATTTGCCCAGGCTGCGCTTGAACTCCTAGGCCTAAGCAATCCTCCTGCCTTGGCCTACTGAGTAGTTGGGGCTACAGTGTGACCACCATGCCCACCTACAAGTCTCCAGTTTGTTATACTAGAGTCAGGCAAACCTTGATGCTGAAACTTGAAGGGGACAAGAAAAATGGACAGGCTAGTCTTTCATGAGCTTACTTTAAGATTCCAAATCAGATCCATCGTAATAAAATATAATCAATCACAACCAAGTTGTGCTTACTCCAGGAATGCGTGGTTGGTTTCACATTCCAAAGTCAACACAGTTCACCACAGAAGTGAATAAAGGAGAAAAAGGCATGAAAAGCTCAGTAAGCACAGACAAAGAAAGCATCTGATAAGATTTGACATCCTTTCATGATGAAAGGATGGGAAATATGCACATACAGACTCAAAAACAGTCCACAGCACTGCCCTCACTTCTGACACCAGATGCAAGGTTGGGAGTCATGAGGACCACAGCCATGTTTTAAAAGATTCCCTACAAGGACTCAGAACATTGACACAGCCACCAGAAAGAAAGGGACCTCTGGTCTACACCACAGGAGCCAAATCTTACCCATGACAGGAATAAGCTGGGAAGGGGTCCTGGGCTTCAGATGAGGACCAGCTAGCAGTTGCCACTATTGCCATCCAAGCACTTTGTTGCCGGAAGGACCTGGGGAGCAAAGGACAATATGATGCCCACTGTGCCCTCAATGCCATGAGTAGCAGCGCCTTTTGTCTGAGGCCCAGGAGTCTCCAGTCTCCCATCACGTGCCCAGCACTGGCAGCCTACTGGCTGAGCTGTGGTTTGAATAGGGTTTCAGTGTCCCCAGGGTTCATGCGTTGGGAACTTGGTCTGCAGTGTGATGATTTGGGGGGATTGTGGGGCCCTTAAGAGGTGGGGCCTTGAGAAATCATGCTCGGAAGGGGTATTCTGAGGTACCAGTTCAGTTTCCAAGAAGAGAAGGTTATAAAGGTGCAAGACTGGGCTGGGGTTGTAGCTCAGTAGCAGAGTGCGTGCCTAGCAAGTGTGAGACACTGGATTCAATCCTCAACACCACATATCAACATATAAACAAAGAAAGGTCCATTGACAACTAAAAAAAAAAAAAATTTTTTAAGGAGCAAGACTGGCCCTCCCTGTTCTCTGATTCACCATGTGATCTCTTTTCACACATTCTCTCAATATTGTAATGCCATCTGCCATGGGACCCTTACCAGAGCCAAGCCAGTGCCAGCACCATGCCCTTGAACTTCCAAAACTATGAGCTAAATAAACCTTTTCCTCATATAATACTCAGGCTCATATATTATGTTATAGCAACAGAAAGACTACGAGCTTACAAGCTGGGAAAATCTCTAACCTTCCATTTCTCCTTTCTAACCTCTTCATGAAAAACAGCTTTAACATGCCTAGGGAGCCAGGGAAAGGATCTTGAAGGGTGCTGGGAGTTGAAAAAATAAGCAGATATAGTGTGGATAAAGAATTCAAGCCCTCTCACTGTTGGAGAAAGGAACTGCAAATAAGGAACAGGCAGGCTGGACCAGCTGTTGGATTGAAATTGATACAAATCCACAGTTTGACTATAGTTAGATATAGATGTAGATGTATATGTGTATGTGCATGTGTTCAGACGTGTATACTCCAAGTTCTGAAATGGCTGCCCTAGCAGCAACACACCTGGAGCCCAGGACTTGACTTCCAATCCCCACCAGCTCCCGGGAGGAGGGCCAAGACAAGGCCAGAGCCTGGTAAACTAACGTGTTCCAGGAAGTGAGGAGTGTTCAAGATGGCAGGCAGAGGAGACACAGCACCAGCCTACCTTACAGAGCAGAAAAAAACTCTTGAGCCTGAATTAAATTCAGATATAGAAAGTATATAACATGCATGCATATGGGAGAAAGGGGCCAGACCTCACAGAGGGATCTCAACCTCCCAGGAACTACTTATTTTATTTAATGAATGCAGAATGCTTACTGACTAACCTTGCAGTGGGGAGACTTGGTGGACCCCCACCTCACCCAGACAACAGGAGTTAGCATTGCCGGTGCCACGGAGATAGCCACCTTGAGCCTGGGATAGGCCACGTAGCGGAGAGACCTCACTCCAGAGGGATTCCTGCTGGAAATGCAGAAACCTTGGCAGGAGTTCTGCAGATTTGCAGGCCTTGGACACGTGGGGGTTTCCTTATGTTGAGTGATTCTGCAAGTCTGTTTACTTCCAAAGTACTTGGAGATGTGGAGGGTCACAAGCATCAGTCTACAATGTATCCTGAGGTAGTGCAGAAAAAAAAGTTAAATGGGAAGAAAGAATAATAAGGCAAATGTGGAAAATATTAGAGGTTGGGCATGTGGGAAGAGAGCATCCAGATTTTTTTGTACTGTTTGACATTTTTCTATAAATTGGAAATTATTTCAGGATAAAAAGTTGGATAAAAATCTACCTGATCTTGGGCCAGGGTTGTGGCTCAGCGGTAGAGCGCTCACCTAGCACATGTGAGGCCCTGGGTTCGATCCTCAGCAGCATATAAAAATAAATAAAGGTATTGTGTCCAACTATGACTAAAAAATAAATATTAAAAAAAAAACTACCTGATTGTAGAAGTGGAAATCAGAATAGTGATTACCAGAGGCTGGGAAGGGTAGGGAAATAGGGGACCCAAGCACAGACAGGAGGGGTGAGTTCTGTGTCTCACAGTGCAGTGAGTTCACCATAATCATAACTTTATAAAGATGGAGCAGAGAGGAGCTCAAAGACGCCAATTATAAAGCATATGTATACATATATATACACATACATACATATAGTTTATATATGTGTGGGGGTGTGTGTATTTAGTACTAAGGAATGAACCCAGGGGTGCTTTATGACTGAGTTACACCCAACCCCTTTATTTCTCATTTTGAGACAGGTTTTTACTAAGTTGCTGAGTCTGACCTAGAATTTGCCATCCTCCTGTTTCAGCTTCCTGAGTCACTGGGATTACCATGCCCCGCCTAGAAATGATATGTTGTTGTGGAGATGGAAATGCTGATTACACTCATCATTAGTACATGCTATATACATGTATCCAAATGAGCACACTGTACCCCATAAATATGTTCAATTATTATGAGTCAATTAAAGCTAAATTTAAATGTTCACCACCCCTTACAGAGACCCACACCATGCATTTTCCACGATGCCCATAAGCAGGTGCACATTTAGGAAGGGACTGGAAGGATGTGCCAAAGAGGAGGAAAAGGATCAGGGTGGGCACAGACACTGCACGCCATGCGGACCCCCTGCTCTGGCCCTGTAGGGTGCTGCCCCCTGGTGGCCATTGAGGACCTGCCATTGGCACCTGGAGAGCCATTACTAGGGACAGCTGGGTGTTTTTGTAAGTGAACTTTGCATCTTCACAGGACTCTCCCCCGGGGAAGGCAGCTCAGGCTCAGCATAAACATCTCAACTGCTGACTTGCAGCCCTACAGGCAGTGTCTGACTCGCCATGATGGATGAGGAAACTGAGGCAGAGAGAGGACGTGACCTGTTCAAGTGAGCTGTCTCTGGGAAGGCCTGGGGGATTTGAGGCCTTCCCAGAGACAGGTGGTATCCAGGTAGACAGGTGGTATCCATCCCAGATGGAACTGGGATGCCTGTGGGTGACCCGCATCCATGAGCCAGCAAGCTGCTCCACACAGGGTCATTTAAGGGGACCTGGCACACTCAGCACCCTCAGCCTGGGCTGGCCTGGGGTCTCAGCACCCCTTTTCCCTGGGGCTGGCCCCAAGGGCCAGAGTTTCTGGAAAGCCTCCCCCAACTCAGGATGCTGTTGGGACTGTGTCCCCTTGAGCAATGCCAGGCAAGGGGACACAGGAATCCCCAATAAGAGGTTCCCAGCCTACTGAGGCCAGTGCGGCTTCTCCCTAGCTGTCTCGCCTAGGGGTTCACCTGGTGTGTGTGCCTTCGGTCCACAGCCCCTTGCAGTGTTGCGGGGAGAGGATGTGGTCTGTGGCAGGAAGAGCCAGGATGCACCATGGTCAGGAGTGCCTGATGACAAAACCCTGTCATGCCCATCACTCATGCAGGAGAGGACAGGTGTGGCCAGGAGGCAGCGACTGGGAGCAAGTGGAGCACACACAGCTGGCCCTCCCTCGCAGTCTGCCTGCAGGGATTGGGAAGATGCCTTCCACCCACTGCCCTGGAGAGCCTCAGCCTCGATCCCTGGGTGCCCCTTTGTCCAGCAAGGAGCTGGCCTTTGGCTGGAGCCCAGCCCACTCCTGTCTGGTCCAGTGAAAAACATACTTACCTGTCCAAGCCCAAAGAATGGACTAAGAGACATGAGGGCAGCAGAAGCAAGGTTTTCCTTCAATGATGGTCTTGCAAGATCAGGTGCCTGGTGGTCAGGGACCCTCAGATTGGATACAACCAGTGTTTTATCCCCTGGAGCATGGTCCCTCCCTGCTTCCTCATTGGCTGAGTACCTAAGGGTACACAGTCTTCTGGAACATCATTTAGGTTTTACTGCCTCCTGCTGGGTTATTTGAAGAAAGGTACATTTAGTTGTCCCCACCTCCCTGTATTCTCTGGGCAGGAAAGTCCCCCTGGGTTGAGCTGGTGCCAGGTGGCTCTGGCTCGTGACTAAAATACTCAGGGGTCACTCCAGGGGAACTGGGCTGATTGGGCTGCACGAAATAACCACACAAAAAACAATACCTTTTTCTTTGGAGGTGCTGTGACTCCTCTGACCTTAAGCTTCCGCAGAAAGAGTGGCACTGACCCCTTTTATTGGGGACAAACTATTCAAATGAGGCAAGGGATCATGTTTCAGGGGGCTGAGTCTATCTTTGTGATGTCCACTGTCAGCAGGTTGATTGACATCAAGGTAGGCCACACCCAAGGGCAGAGCAAGAGAAGGGGACACACACAAAAGGCATTTCCATGGAACATTCTATCCCAAACAGGGCAAGGGTAATATTACAAAGGAACAGGTGAGTGTAGCTTCACCCATGGGGATGTAGGAAGGCACGCCCATGCATGAAGACACAGTGGCTCGCACCCTAGAAGACAGGGCTGTCCAGCAGCATGACTGCCAGATGCCACACCGCTCAGCAGGGGAGATAGACCCAGTCACGTCTAGTTCAGCCCCCCACAAGCTGGCACATGCACAGTTCCTCTCTGTTGCTTAGGTCCCTTCCTTCTCCCCTCCTGTGTGTCCAGGACTGTGACTCTTACACTCAGCATTACCTGCACATAGCTTTCTATTCTGCCGTCCTCTCCAGCTGCTTTTCCTACACCCCAAGACATTTTACATTTAAAGCCAGAGACTGTATTTTGAAAATGAACCATCAGACTTTCCGTTTCTCACAGGCCTGGCCCTTGGGAAAGGAGCTGCCCCCACTCAGCTGAGCACGTGCCAGAGCCATGGATTCGTCTTTTAGGCCATGACACCCCAAGCCAATTGGTCTGCAAGAGCTCTCATGCCCAGTGGTGACTGCCCTGTTCCTGGTATCCCTGAGTATCCATTTTCTAATTTCACTCAGTTCCCACATCAACGCCAGCAGGCCCTCTGGGACCCTGCGGCAGAGGCTCCCCAGGACTCCCACCTGGCCATATCAGGGCCTGTCTCCAGCCTCCCTGCCTGGTGGAGGCAGCCTCCCTGATACTGGCAAGTCCTTCAACTTCTTATCTGGGCCCTAGTGGCCAGGGTGCTCTCTTCTGCAGTACTCATACTAAAACCCTTGGGGTAGCCCAGCATAGGAAAAAAGATCTGTTTATTTGTTACTCTGTGGCAGCAAAATTGAAAAGGTGATATCTTTAAAAAAAAATCATCTAAATGGGAGACTCCAAAATCCCTTGGCAATGGGGGAGGCCACATCCAGTGGCTTTACACTGCACCACACAGGAGCCAGATGTCCCAAGAAAGCCCTGTGAGGGACGGAGAATGAGCTGAACTTGTGCTGAGTAGACAGGGCCTCATGAACCGACAGCTCCCCCACTCCTCACCCCCTGCAATTTGCAGAGGCAAAGACCTGAGGCTGGGGTTGCAGTGAGGTGGAGTGGAGCCCAGAGAAGCGAGTCATGAGGCTGCAGCTCTGTCACCAAGCCAAGGCCCTCTCAGACCTGAGAAATAAACCTTTTGCTAACCAGTGTTCTGTGCCAGACCAGGTGTCTGTGCCCCCACCTCCCACCCAGCCATGCAGACCTCTGGGGCCCAGGTTGCTGCTGGGAAAACAGATACAGGATGACTGAGCCATTTCAGCCATGAAGGAAGCCCAGTGGACCTACAATTCACCTGCTCATTAGCATGCCAATGTAAAGCATGGCCCTGACCACATTCCCACCCATCTTGGTATGGTCTGCTTTTGACCCCCAGTTGAAATAGGTCCAGAGAAGAATCTGAGGACAGGGACTGGTGCCCTCCAGAGAAATCAGAGACAATTCTTTCCACTAACCCCTGTCTTTCCTCTTTTCACTCTTTTTAAAAATACCTTTATTTTATTTGTTTATTTTTTATGTGTTGCTGAGGATAGAACACAGTGCTCTATTCCTGAGCCACAACTCCAGCCTCCCCTCAATCTTAAAGACCCGCATCCTTTGTTTGATTTTCTCCATGATTCTTTCAGTTCTGGCTGAAGAACAAGCCTTCCTCCTCTGCCTAAGTGGCTCTCAGTTTGTAGGGGAATAACCACCAGCTAGGGTCAGAAAGGGGTGACAGTTCTTGTCCCTGCTGTCTGATTCCTGCCTGTGTCTCTCAAAGCTCTGCATCTACTTTCTGAAGTCTTTTGTCTTTCAGATATTTAAAAGAGTTTGTGGTGCTCTCTTCTGCAGTACGCATACTAAAATCAGAAGCCTGAGAAGATGAGCATGGAGGACGCAAATTCGCGAAGCGTTCCATTTTTTTTTTAAGTGCTACATATTTTAAGTGGCGTCAATGTTGTTGAAATTCCTTTTATTTAGCCCCACCCCCTCCCCACGCATGTACTTTTCTGGGCCTCATGTTTATGATGGGAAGGAACCCCAAGAGAAGAGGCCACTCAGGGACTTCCCGGTCACCCACCCCTCCGTAGGGGACACTCTCCAGGCCAGACCGCGTGGTACTGAGGGGATGCTCCCGATGCTGGGCCATCAGCGCCATGAGAGCCCCCGGATGCTGCTGGCAGGAAAGGGCCCAGGGCAGACCTGAGTCCGTCCTGGGGAAGGACCCTGAAGTCCCCAGGGACTCGGTGAAGAGCGAGCCAGGGCGGGCTGGCGTTTAGGACAGGGTACAGCTTCCCACCCCTCCTCCCGTCCAGGCCTCGGTGAAGCGCTGGCTCCCAGGCGCGGTCTGGCCCGCAAGTCTCGCCCACCAGCCCTCGGCCCCGCCCCCGGCCCCGCCCCCGACCCTGCTGCGATCGCTCAGCACTCGGCCCCGCCCAGCCCAGGTCCCAACCCGCACTGGCTGTCGTCGGCCGCGCACTCCTCCTCCGGACACAGCCCAGGGGTGCCATGGCGTTGCGGGCCGACTGCAGTCCCAGCTCCCGCCTCCAGGCGTGAAAACGCTGGTATCCGGAGTGACTAAGGCACCCAGGGCCGTTTGTCACAGGCTGCTGCAGCTTCAGCTCAGGGGTGGAGAGAGGCTGAATGGGCCACTGGGACTGCCAGAAGGGCAGAGGGCAGCATGGTCACCCTCCACCCGACCCGGAGCACAGGGAACCAGGCAGGTATAAACCCAGCACGCAGAGCTGTGTTCCCATGGCCACTGGGCCCAGCATGTATCCTGGACATAGAAAGGACAGCAACCCAGAGAGAGCAGCTAGAGCCATGTCCACAAGCTGGGGAGGCCGGCAGCCAGGGCAGCTGGAGGAGGGTGGGAGGGCTATGCCCTGCCATGCTTGGGTCTTGGACCAGTGGCCGGCAGAGCTGTGAGGTCACTTTGTGGTCAGTGGCCTGCTTGTGAAATCAGTCACAGCAGCCCCCGGACACCAGCATACTGTTGAAACAGCAGGCAATCTCTCCAGGGTCTTTTTGTTCTCACCCATCCCGGAATTTTCCAGACTGTTTGCAGAATCCCTGCCATCACTCTTAACACCCTGGTTCTGGTTGTCCCTGTGGGATCCAAGGGCTCACCCTCCTCAAGGCCTTTGTACCAAGGGACTCCCAGAAGAAAAGCACTTGTAAGGGTCAAATGGAGTCTTTCTTTTCCAAAGGAAGTGAAAAGAGCATGTATTTTTGTGTTTTTATTTCTAAGTGTGTTTCTGTGTGTTTTCTAGGTGTCTCTCACAGTGAAGATCAGAGGCCCACACCTGCCTTACAGAAATGAGAACCTGACTCAACACAGGGGCTCTGTGTAGTTCTCCGGGAAGGAAACTTGAGCGTGCCCCTGGTGCCCGCCCTATGTCCAGGCAGCTCCACCTGCTCGGCTCAGTCTCCTGCTGAGACTCTTGCTGAGGCTAGGATATCAGGCAGGTGGGAGGGTCAGCCCCAACAGTGACCCAGTGAGATAGGTGTCATTGTTCCCAGTATCCAGATGGGGAAACTGAATCATCAGCATGGCCTGGCAGAGCTGGGATCCGAGTGGGCCGTGAGTTTCCTCCTGTACTCCAACCTGGTGAGGCGCTAGGCAGTCATCTGCTTGCTCTGTCCCAGCTCCCGACCCCCTCCCCTGTGACAATGAAGTCAGGAAGTCTCAATGTGAAGGAACTCTATGCATCCTCTTGCTCTGTGGCAGCTGTATCTCAGCCTTCCTGGGGTTATCTACCAGCATTTCTGACTATTGGCCTTCCCAGCATGAGTGTCTGGGGCTCCCTGTGGAAAACACATGGACTACCCTACTGGGCACCAGCAACTGGCCACCCTGGCTTCTGACTCCCTTAGGTGACCCCTGGCAGCATGTGTCTGCTCAGCTCAGAACCAAGCCCAGACAAGTGTCCTCAGGGCTGGGCTCCTGCCTCTTGCTGCTCCTGGGCTGTGCCAGTGTCCAGGCACTGTGACGGTGCAGGGTGCCCCTCATTATGGCTTGTATCCACCCGAAAGCAGAAGCATGGAAAGCCCCCTGACACACTGCAGCAGTCACCCAGCAATGCCTGCGGCAAAGCACACTCACGAAGCTGTCGTCCAGAGTTCTGCTGCAGCCCTGCGTTGGCTAATGGCTGAGGGAACCCGCAGAACAAGCTGGCGTCTCCCGCTGCCCATTCCCATGCTCTTTGGCTCTCTGGCTCCTGACAGCCTGGGAGCATCACCCACTTACACACTGCCACCTTCCAGTCAGGAGACCCTAGGGGGCAGAGGCCCACCGAACGGGTGGCTCCAGCACATGGACACTGTGGCTGGCCCTGGCTTCCCACACCTGTGGTCCTCTCCTGCAGTGCAATGGTCTCAGCAGGTCTCCTCGACCAGCCTCTCCTGGGTGTGCGCTGAGCCCCACTTAGCTGGCTGCAGCGCGGGAGGGTTCACAGGCAGGGGAAGCGCACAGTCCTCTGCGAGCGCCATGGGGAAGTGCATCTCCTCTGAGTCCTTGGAATGCGTGAGCTTGGTGACTTCTGTCTTTGCAGACCACTTCTTCCACCCCTTCTGGATTCTGGACACTTCTTGCCGAGAATGGTCTGTGGCCAGCACGTAGATGATGGGGTCAGCCACGCTGTTGACGGTGGACAGGCAGAGGAACACCATGGACACCGTGTACAGGCTGGCTTCAAAGGCGCACATCGCAACCTTGTCTCCTCTGTAGTAGGAGAAGGTGGCCGCTTCGATGAGAAGAACCACATGGTAGGGGGCGAAGCAGACCAGGAAGATGACCACCACTGCTATGGCTGAGTGCTTCACCTTGGCCTTCTGGGCAGCGGTCAGGCCCATGCTCAGCTTGATGCTCCTGAAGATCCGGTGGTTAGTGAACGCTATGGTGCAGAGAGGGATGGCGAACCCCACTGCAAACCGCGCGTAGTGGTAGCCTGCAATCTTTTCATTCATCCGCATGGGCTCGAAGCAGCTCTCCTTCTCTATTTCCATGTCAAACACTGGGTAGTAAACAAGCCCCACGAGGACAAAGACACACACCGAAATGAAGACGGCAGTCTTCTGGAGGCGCCGGCCGCGGCTCTCCAGTGCATACACCACTGCCAGGAAGCGGTCACAGGAGATGCAGCACAGTAAGAGGATGCTGATGTAGATGTTGCAGAAGAAGATGTAGGCGGTCACCTTGCAGGCCCGGGGGCCCAGGGTCCAGCGGTGCTCATTCTGGATGTAGATGATCCAGAGCGGCAGTGTGCTCAGGTAGAGCAGCTCACAGAGCGCCAGACAGAAGAGGTAGACGGCCAGCACGTTGCCCTGCAGAGCCTGCAGTAGCGTCAGCCACGCGGTCAGGCAGTTGGCCGGCAGGCCCAGCACACACACCGCGCTGTACACCACCACCAGGACCACTCTGCTCTCCTCGAAAGGTGCGTTGCAGAGCCCAGCAGACGGTCCCGGGACTGCCTGAGAGAGCGGGGTGGTCACTGGGGTGGCATTTCCTGTGGGGCAGAAACAAGAGTGAGATTTGCAGAGCCAAGAGAAAGTGAAAGGCCCACCAGGTGCTTAGACAATTTCCAGAGGGATTATTGAAAGAGATCCTTAGATCCTGGATGTCCAACCCATTGACCTCACCGACAAGAACACAGGCTGTGCAAGATGCACTCTTTGCAACTCATCCAAGTCAGTTTTTAAACTGCATGTCTGAAGAGGATGTTTGTGTCTGTTTTCTGACAGCTGAGGAAGAGCCCTTCTGAGTACCCCATCAACAGTGTCTGGAGTTAGGTGCTCACTGCTTCTCTCCTCCAGCCTCGATCTTGCTCTGGCCCCAGCCCCTGCCCTGACTTGGGCACTGTCTCATCCTTACACATAGTTTTATCTCTTCTTTGCCTTTTTGACTCTCAGTTACAAAGAAAGATAACTAACCGTCCCTGTCATGATGATAGATTCATCCACTTCTCCTTTTAGGTCTTTCAAGATTTGCTTCCTATATTTGATGCTTTTGTTAATTAGTGCCTAGAAATTAAAACTCGTTCTGTTTCTGGTGAGTTGACCCATTGGGCATTATGTCATGATGCTCTTTATCTGTGTGGTAGGCAGAATAATGACCTTCTACAAACATGTCTGTATCCTAATGCCTACTTGTGAATGTGCTAGTTATGGCAGTGGGGGAATAGGTTGCTGACAGAATCAGGATTAACTAGGATCATCTGGCCCAGTGCATCACAGGGAGTTTAGATGTGGGAGAGGGAGAAAGAAAACAGCCATTGTGGCTCTGAAGGCAGAGGGAGGGCCTCAGGACCAGGAATATGGCCTCTAAAACCTTGAGAAGCCAAGGACAGGGGCTCTCCCTGTGGCCTCCTCCTTGTAATTTTATGTTGCCTTGGCATCTACTTTGAATGCCAGTCTAAGTTTCTCCTACAGAAGCAGGGCTCATTCACCCTGGACAGGGCTTCAGTTCAAACCCCACCCAAACAGCAGGTCAGGGGTGAGCACCAGGAGCCAGCAGGGCATCTGATAGGACCAGCAAGCCTCCCACAGGGAGCCCTGGTCACAGGTCAGACACCTGGGCCCCGGGCCACCCACTAGGTGGAAGAAGTACCCAGAAAGCACCCTGTGCACATGGGGGCTCCTTCCTGACCCTTGCCAGGGCTGCCGGGCCCTCAGAGCACTTGGCCTCAGCTGGTGGGACCCACTCCAGACTCGGAAAGCCAGAACCCCAAGGCCACATGTGTAGTGAAGCCTCTGCATTCATAGCCACTTGCCACATGGGCCTTGGGAAGTCCCAGGGCTCCAGATGCTCCTGGGGACAGCCCTGCTTGCCGTGGCTTCTTGTCCAGCCTGGCCTTCGGAGGCCCCTGAGTTCTGCTTCTTTCTGTTCATGTTGCAGCACCAGGGACTGAGCTGGGCCCCAACCCTGCTAAGCACATGTCACTAAGCCACACCCCAGCACAGGACCCTTGAATTCTAGATGTGACGGTCACAAAATACTATGGCTGGATTAAAACAACGGATACTCTTTGCCTCTGAGCTCTCGAGGTCAGCCCTTTGCACTTGTAATACTCTCTATGGACTTTCTTTCTGAGACAGGGTCTTGCTAGGTCAGGCTGGTCTCCAACTCCTGGACTTGAGTGGTTCTCCTGCTTCCACCTCCGGGGTTCTTGTCCTGCTTGGACATGGGTGACACCAGGACCCACAGGTGGATGCCACCACTCCCAGCTTCCCGCATTAGATTTACTCCTCCACCTTGTTTTGCCCTCCTTTGCAGTTTTCCATTTACTTTTACTCCCCTTTTGCTTTCTGCTATGGGCTGAATCCTGTCCTCACTACAAAAGACACTGTGGGGCCCTAGCCTCTGGGGCCTCAGAAGGTGACCTTATTTGGAAACAGCATCTTGACTGAGATGAGCATGTGAGAATGGGCCCTGAGGTGTCCTTACAAAAAGGGGAAATTTGGGGCTGGGGCTGGGGCTATGGCTCAGCGGTAGAGTGCTGGCCTCGCACGTGTGAGGCCCAGGTTCGATCCTCAGCACCACATAGAAATAAATCAATAAAAGGTGTTGTGTCCCACTACAACTAAAAATAAATAAATATTAAGGGGGGGTTGGACACAGGCGAGCACAGAGGAGAGAAGATGAAGACACCCACAGAGAAGAGGGCCCAGGAGAAGAGGGCCCAGGGAGGGCAGGCGGGGCCAGCCCAGGGCCCTCTGGTGTGGGAGGTGAACTGTCAAGGCCCCCCAGGGCAGCCGGGCCTCATCTTCTGGAGCCAGTGAGCTGACTCCACATTGCTCTACTCCCCTCTCCTCGCTTTGGAACTTACTGATTCTCTGGATGGTTCAGTGATTACCTCGAGGTCTCCAAGGGTGCAGTCACCCCTGAGTGGATCCAGTCTTCACCTCTGGGACCCCTGGCCTGGCCTGTGTTTGACTCATGTCCCCTCATTTCACTTGTATGGTTTTAAAAAGGTGGTTTTAAAAAAGTCTGCATAGCAACATCCCACTATGGCAACCATCCTGGGCACGCGTCCAGCGAGCTCAGAGTGCTGCCCGGGGTCACCCTGGGGTGGGCTGCTGGCCCGTGACCGCCCGAACCCAGCCAGGCCTGTTGCTGTCCTCCTTCCCCTCAGGCTTTGCCCTGAGATGCACCCCCTTGCTGTTTTCCAGGTGCTGCCGTAACCAGCTGGCACAGCCCGGGCAGCTTACGGACATCGGGGTGTGCCTCTCACCCTGCTGGAGGCTGGGCGCCTCACGGGGCCAGCAGCCTGCTCTGGGGCTGGTGAGCCTGCTTCCCACCTCCGAGGACTTCACTGGGCCGCAGGGGTGAGGCGGCTCCCGGGGCCTGCTGGGAGGGCACTCACTGACTCCTGGGGACCTAGTGGCCTCCCCCAGGCCCAGGCCCTCCTGCCCTCAGCAGTGTCCGGGTGCTGGAGGATAGCCTTAGTAATGTCCTTCCCTGTCTCTGCGGCTGCTCTGTTTTGCCGTGCCGGGAGGGCATCTGGGGCTCGCGCTACCACTGGGCCGCATGCCGCCCCAGAAGGGCTGCTCACAGGAGCCTTTGGGGGCCACCCCCGTCTTGGTTGTCAGACGTGCCTTCCACACGCAGCTCCCTGGACGGCTTCCCGTGGACCCACCTCAGCTCCCGGCTGGAGGCCTCGCCCCTGAGCCTGGCTTTGGTGGTGGTTCTTGTCCTGCTTGGACATGGGTGGCACCAGAGCATATTTTGACACAAGACTTTTGCCGGTAAATGGATGGATCTGGAGACTATCGTGCTAAGTGAAGTAAGCCAGTCCCCAAAACAAAGACGGAATGTTCTCTGATCTGCAGAGGCTGCCCTGGTCCTGGCCTCTGTGGCTGCTGGGGAGTGGCCCCTGGCTGTTGTGCGGCCTCCTCATCCTGGGCTCTGCACACGCTCACCCTGAGCTTTCTGTCCTTCTGCAGTGCTTCCTGGTGGCCCACACCCGTGGGGCTAGCCTAGTCATCTTTTTATATCGTCCAACCTCTGTGTTTAAACTCACTGGAATTTAGAACTGTGCCTTTCACTGCTAGAGGCTCCGCGGGCTCCTGCTCAGGATGCCTGGCATTGCTGGAGGGCGCTCCTGGGGGGAAGGTGTGGTCCTGGGGGGGCTTGCTGCCCCAGTCCCACAACAGCAGCCTGCAGGAGGGTCCTCTGACCTCTCCAGCCCTGGCTCCTCGCAGTGGGGGCCGTGGAGGTCTTCTCTGCAGGTGCCCATTTGAGCCCCCAGTCGAGTCCTAGGATCACCTACCGTCCTGATCAACCCCCGAGGTCAGTTTGCAGCATAAACCAGACTCAGGATGTGCCTCTCACTGTGCTGGAGGCTGGGCCCTTGGTCTGGGCCACTGCCGGGGCTCGCTGTGACTCCAGAGCAGCACATGGCCTCTGAGGTCAAGAGGACGGAGGCAGGGGTCTGAAGGCCACAGGCCCGTGAAGCTCCTCACAGCCAGGCACAGCCACTGCCTGGCCACACCCTCACTGGCCTCTGGGTCTCCTGTGAGTCCAGCCTCAGCAGTGCTCCTGGATATCCGACCAGCTCAGGTCCTGCCCAGTGTCCTCTTGTGTTCTCGTCCGCGGAGTGGACGGAGCCCAGCCAGCCTGGATGCTGGGTGCTTGTGTCTTGGGCCCATGCTGCCTCCTCGGTGCTGCCCTACTCTGCCCTCAACAGGACAGGGTCTCGACTCCCGTGTCCCTCTCAACACGTGCTGTTTTCTGATGTTTTCCCCAGAGGTGCTGGGGATGCAGCCCGGGGCCTCACCCTGCTGGGCAAACACTGCACTGAGCTCCGCTCTAGCCCTCTTATTTTCTGTCTTCTGGTAGTGGCTGTCCTGTTGGGTGTGAGGTGTGAGGCAACCCACCCACTGTTCCTCCCACTCTAGCATGTGTCATTGTCCCCAGTCTAGACGGACAAGTTGAGACTCGGGAGTGCTGAGCTGCCTCAGGGCCCCCAGCGGTCCTCTGCACAAGCCTGTGAGTGGACGGCAGTGAGCAGGGTGCCGGGGCTGGGGGGCCCACAGCTCCCTCCCCTCATGTGAGCACCCTGCCTGCTGTATGAGCCCACAGAGAGGTTGTCCCCCACTTCCTGGCCTCAGATGCCCCTCCCAGCCCCCCACCTGCTACCTCCATCCCAGCATCAACGCCTGTTAACCCAGGTGAGGCAGTAGTGAGCCCTGGGTGGCCCAGGGCCCCTGCATGCTCCAGAGCAGCTCTGGTGCGTCCCCCTCCTCCCCTGCACTCCCCCACTGTCCAGGGGCTTGGTGAGGCCTGGTCCCGTACCACCTGCTCAGGCCCACACTCCTGTAGCCTTCACTGAGGGCCAAGTCCCTCCTGGTGACTGGGCGGGAGCCTCGGTGCAGGCAGAAGAGCCCCAGAAGGGGAGGCAGCAGGGGCGGAGGGTGTGGCTCACGGTCACCTCTTCCATGGCCAGCAGGGGTCCCACAGGGCAAGGGCACGTGACTCAGGCCCAGTGCTCAGGGATCCTGGACATGAGAGCTGCTTTGTCCCTCACCCCTTTCCTGGCTGTTCCCAGCACTCTCTCGAAGAACTGTGAAGTGGGCACTTGTCAGCTTCCTGGTGGAGCGCCTGTGGTCTCCGTCCGCTTTGGTTCAGAAATCTGTCTCTGCGCGCTAATTTTTGAACTGTGAGATGAGATGGAGTACGTTGTAGGAAGACTCTCTTGGACCCCCTGAATGTTGAAGTTGAAGGAGGCTCACTCACCTGGCATGTTTGCGGTTCCAATCTCAGGGTGGCTCTAATGTAAGCCTTCTGGTACACCTTGTGCGTCTTGTTGGTCCTACTGAGAAGTGTACTATTTAAAAGGACCTAGAGAAAGCGCAGGTGGAAATTGCTTTAGGAAAAGCAGATTAAATCATGTGAATTAAGCATGAATTAATTCATTTGAGAAAATGATTAGAGAACATGTATGATGTGCCAACTCTTGAATTCATCCTGCGGGATGCAATATCAGGTCCTTAATATATATAAAAAAAATTCCCCAAAATCAACAACAGGAAACCTAATAGAATCACTAAAGCCAGTGAACATCACGATGTACATCATAAAAAAGGAATCTGAACTCTCAGTGTCATGGAGAATAAGGAGGAAGGCGATGTAGTGGGGATTGAGGGGAGTCTCAACCATCGCCAGTATGTTTCCAAACATCTTCAGTCTTTCCCTTGGGCCTTCTTGTTTTCTATTGTCAGCGCTGGACATCAAACCCAGGGCTCCACACACCCCAAAGTTCTGCCACGGAGCTGCATTCCCAGCCCTGTGCTTCCTTCGAACCTATCAGATTCTGTCTGGAATAGTCCTCACCAGGAGTGACCCACGGCATCGAGTGCATGTGACCCAGAAGCTGTGTCACCGCCTGTTGCCCAGTGTGAAGGGGATGAGGACCCTGACAGGGACCCCTGAGAACAGTGTCCTCAGACAGAGGGCATGGGAGGTGGGCAGCAGGCTCCAGGGGACCTGCTTCTCTGCATCCCTCAGTAACAAGGGCAGCCCCAGAGAGGCCCCGTGATGACGAGGCAGAGGGTCTGAGGGAAACAGAGCCAGGCCCACTTCAGGGAGTCAGGGAGGCCCACTGGAGTCCTGGGACCTCAGAGGCAGCCTGGGCCCTCTGGCTCGGGTACATGTGTGTCTCAGTCCTCCACAGAGGAGCGGAGGCTGGGTACGCAGAGGTCAACTCAGGGGCCCCACTCCACCTACTGTGGCTTGAACCCACCACCACCAGGGACAGCCCTGGGTCAGGCACAGCGCCTTACAGAGGTAGGCCAAGTAAAGCAGGCTGCAGCCACCAGGCAACCAGGACTCCAGGGACACCCACGCCAGCACCTGGCCAGGGCCACATGCACCCAGACCCCAGCTCACGGCTGGCTCAGCTCCTGAGCTCCCTGCCTTCCTTTTTCAAGTATGTTTCTAGAAGCTGGAGGTAACAGGAAGCTGAGCCGCTCACCTGAGGCCACAGGAAGTTGCTCAGTGTGTGAAGAGTCAAGGCAACCTCTCCACGTACGTGACCAAGCGAGAGGCCCAAGCCAGACAGAATCCAGGAAGGCCTTTCCCAAGCGTGGCTGGTGGCAGCAGCCCGGAGGCTACCCACTCCCTCGGTCTCCATTCCTGGGTCTCGGCCAGCAGCCTGTTTCCCAGTGTGAAGGGGACGAGGACCCTCATAGTGACCTGCCGGGACACTACGGGGGGACTTCAGGTCCTCCTGCACTGAGCTCTGCAAGCTGTGGTGGAAGGGGAGTGCCCTGTGTGCGGGGCTCTGCCCTCTCTGCCGCCCCCAGCTAGCCACCTGGGGTCATCTGCTGCTGTACCAAAGCCTCGTGAGAGATGCAGGGCTTTCTGGCCCTCTCTAAACAGAGGGACTCCAGGGCGCGGAAGTGGTGCTCCCCACCAAGGAGGGTCAAGGAGGTGCTTTCCAGCTGGTGAGGTGGCCACGTGGGCCAGGGCCCCCAAGAGAGGGGCTGACGGGATGAGTGCCCACCTGTCCAGGACCAGGGAGGGCAGCCACCCCTCCTGTGGCCCGCTTCCTCCCAGGCCCAGCCCTGGGTGGCAGGTTGCACTCTTGTCCCTCATCTCTTGCCCAATGCTGTGAGCCTCTCTCTCCTTTCAGATTTTGAGGGACACAAGAGGAGCGTGTCCTTACAGAGCAGCAGAGCAGCTTCATGAGGCCACACACATCAGACAGAGTGGAGGCCCCGGGTGGGCGTCAGTCACCAGCCCTCCCCTGCAGGGCTGCCCCAAGCACTGGTCCCTAGAGCGGAGGGAGGGAGGGCAGCTCCACACCCAGGCTCACAAAGGCCGCGGGAGTGAGAGCCCAGAGGAAACCTGAGAGATGCTTCCCTCCTGTGAGGCCGGCCTCCTGTCCAGCAGCTGGAGGACCACCTCTGTTACCGAGAGGCTTCTCTGGGTCCCTGCCTGCCTACGGAGGCACAGCCTGGACAGCACAGCCAGGCACAGCAGGGCACTGTGGTCCAGATCTGGGGCCTGTCTGACCTCTGGGCTCCAAGGGTTTCCCTGGACCACAGCAAGGGGGCAGGTGGTGACACCAGGAGGGGGCAGCTGGTGCTGGGGCAGCTGAAGGGAGGCTGTGGGTCCACGGGACTGAACCCCAGCCCCGGGCTGGACTCCTCCCATGGTTGCCGGGTGCCTGCCCAGAGCTGCCTCCAGCCCTGCCCTGCACACCAGTCCCCAGCCTTTGCTTCTCAGAGTGGGCCCCGCCCAGGCTTTGTCAGGGTGCTCCTGCCCCACAGGCACACAGCCTCAGGCCAGACAGGGTCCAGTCCTGGACACTGCTGCTCCCACCCTCTGTGCTGCTCCCAGCCGCTTCCCGCTTCCCCTGAGTCTCATCCCTGTTCAGGTGAGCCTCTCACCTGCTGGACTGCAGGGGCTCCCTGTCGGGCAGCTCAGGTGCCATGTGGCCATCTCTGGAGCAGCAGGGCTGTCTCCCATGAGGGGAGGTAAGGGGCAAGCAGCCCCAACCTCCAGACACAGGCTTTTCCCAGAAAGGGTGCCCCTGGGCAGGGCCCCTCCTGCACTTTGGCTTTGTGTGCATCAGGAGGACCAGGGCCAGGAGAGGGGGTCCCGTGCTGCTCCACTTTTAGAAGCAGATGTGGCCCTCCAGCAGGCAGGAGTCAGGCCAGGCCGTGCATTGTGGCTGCTGGCCTCGCCTGCCCTGGCCATCTGGGCCCATCTCTGGGGCTCTGACTCAGCTGGGGCAAGAGCCTTGACATGGCAGCAGGGTCCCCCCCATGGGGGATGGCCCCCCATGCCCAGGAGCATCCATGGGTCAGCAATGCCCTCAAGGCCCATAGTACCAACAGGCTCATGTCACCCTCATGGTCCCAGGCCATGTGCCCATGGTGGCCCCATGTTCCTGGGGAAACTGTGGAGGCTGGATACAGAGCAGCTCCGCTGGACCCTGGGATGTGGCCTAGGGACCGCAGTCACAGTCCTGAACGGGCAAGCACGGATCAGTCCTGTCTCTTCCACCTGCTCCCAAGCGAGCTCCGTGTATCCCAGGCCGCAGACACTGCCAGTCTCCTTCGTGTGTCCCAGCCCCCGCTGTAAACCGCCATCTTCAAACCACACCTTCCCCTTGCGCCCCGCCAGTGCCCTCCGCCTGACTTCTCCTTTCCTGCCTCCAGCTACCTTCCTAGGGCCCGTCCCCACCCTCAGCTCACACCCCGGGGCAGCTGCCACTGGCTTTCTGCCCACTCTCCCAGGGAGGAGCTTGCCCAGTCCCTGGAGATGCCAGGTGCCAGGGTCAGGAGTAGGACCGGCCGCAGCTAGCCTCGGCCGCCCAGCACCACCCGGCACCTGCCTACAGCCCCTGGGTTTTAGAATGTGCTCCTCGCCTGTCCATCACAGAGCTCTTCAGACGTCCTGGCTGTCCCTGCCCCATGCTTCCCACCCACCCTGGCTGGGGCTTCAGGGACTCCCAGCCTGGACTGCTGGGCCTCTGAGGCTGTTTTTGGTGGGTTCCCCTCCAGGCTCACACCCCTCGCCACAGCAGGGTACTGCGGCTGTCTCCACCGTCCTCCTCCCACATCCTTCTTTGAGAACCTACCCTGGATTCGGTCCCCACATCAGGATGTGCTCAGGCCAGAACTGCAGGCTCACCAGAATCAGTCACGGGCTCTCCAGGGGGACCCGGGGCTGACTTCCTGCCCAGCAGAAGCCGCGTTGCCATCCTTCCCAGTGCGGTAAAGTAAGACCATCGTCTCTGACACACATTCTCTTTGGTTGGACTGCTGGTGAGTGGGCTTCCCACACAGCTGCCAGCTGTCCAACACCTCTCAGCCTTGGCTGGGCCTGGCCCTAACGCACGGCATTATCCATCCTGGATGGCGATGCTGGAAACCACTGCTCAGCCTCATTCTCCAGTCCCCAGTGGTCAGTCCAGCCCCTCGGGGATGTGCCCAGCCTGGGTCCATGAACCCAGCAGAATTTACTGAGCCCCTGATGTGCCAGGTGCTTGGGATACCTAGCCTGAGAGACCTGTGAGCCACCAGCCACAGGATCTTGCCCCATGATTGGACAGACCACCGTCCACTCCAAAAGAGTCCCTACTGTCCTGCAGTCCCTCCTTATGCGATGCCTCTCAGCCTAGGCCACCCTGGAGGAAGGAGCCACATGTCCACAAACCATGCCGCCCCAGGGGGATGGCAAGCACGCAGGCCAGGAGAGGGGAGAAGAAGTCCAGCCCTGCCTGGCATCTGCGCCAGCAGCCACATAAGGATCTCTAGAGAGAATGGGGGCAGATGAGGTCACCAATGTGACAGATGCTCTTGATGGGCACAGTGCCCCTAAGTCCTATCTTGGGGACAGGCCTCAGGTTAAGAGCCTTCAGCGAGCCCCACCTTTGTTCCAGCACACAGGCAGCCTTCTCTCAGGTCCCCTCCTGGGCCAGCCCCCCAGGACCCTCCCAGCACACCCAGGACAATGACTTACCCAGGCCCATCCTGCCGCGGCCCTGCGTGCCCTCTCTACAGGCCCCCTGACATTTCAGGAAGTAGAGGGGTCTGAGCATGTTCACTCCGAAACTCCCTTAACCACAAAGCGGAGCTGAGTCGGGGTTGGCTGACAGGCTGGGGCGTTATCTCCTGGCCATGACAGCACGCCCCTCACTTTCCTGGGGACGGGGAATCAGGAAACGGCTCCAGACCCTCCTGTCTGCTTTGATAGCATCCCCAGCAAGCCATACCTCCTCTCAGGAGATGAGCGGGGACCCAGGACAGACACCAGGAGCCAAGGAACAATGCAGCCAGGCAGCTCCATCCAGGTGGTGCCACACCTCCCAGCGTTGTCCCAGGGAGACAAGGCAGCACCCGCCGCAGCTGGGCCTGAAGAGAGGGGGGCCAGGTCCTCTGCAGCACAGGAGCAGACGCTTCCTGCTCACCAGGAACACCCATGGGTGCTGCCAAAGACGCCCAGCCCTCCCTCTGCACCTTCCTAGGGCAGGCCTGCAGGCACAGGGCTCTGCTGGGGGCTTCTCCCGGACAGGCCATGTGGCGACCGGAAGTTGGGGGTCAGGGGCCACCTGGGAAGCTGCCTTGACTGATGGGCATGGGCTTCCTTGGCCCAGTTTCCCTGGAAGACACCAGCCCTGCCAGCGTCACCCACCCCTCCCCGACCTCTCTGCACAGAGGGCTGCCTCCAGGCTTGGGGTGCAGCCCCTCCCTTGCCCAAGCCTGGCACAGTCCTGGCTCTTCTAGCCACGAGGTCATGAGAAGGAGTGTGTCCAGGGACATCTCCAGGACAGCTCTGCGGCCAGCACTGCTCCAGACACGCACACCGGGATGTGCTCAAGGCTGGGCCCTGGGGTTCCCCCAGTTATGTGGGCCTCTGCCCACCCAGGCACAGGGCCGTGAGGCCCCAGCTCGCCCCCTCACAGGTGCACCCTGAGCAGCAGTCTCTGTGGTCTCGTGTGGGTGCAGCGGAATCCCTAGGAGTCCTCGAAAGCCCACATGCCATCACGTGCGTGTCCAAGGCACCACTCACCTCAGCCTTCAGGGAGCACCCACCAGGGGCTGGGACCCTCGAGGGGTCGGCCACGCACACCACATCCACCGGAGTTCGCCACAGGCCACTGACTGCCATGCCCCTGGGCCTGCGCCTTGGGGATCCCAGGTGCCCAGGGCAGCGAGAGGGCACAGCCTCCTGCCCCCACCAGCCTGTCTGGGGCACTCTGCCTTCCGCTTCTAACAGGAGCCCCATCTGGGGCTTGACAGATGGTGATTTCCAGTGACATCACCCTCTGTGCCTAGCTGCTTCATGTGGCAAGGGCTCCCCTCCCAGCGGGGGAGATGCACTTCCCCCTTGGGCGCCATGGTCTCCTCCGGGGGTGGCAAAGCCCTGGCTTCATTTATTTTTCTCTCTAGACTCACAGACTTTTCCTCTGTGTGGTGAAGTGACCGCTCCACCACTTCCAAGTGAATGGCTGGGTGGCCTTCGCACACTAACAGGACAGCCACTGTCTCCAGGACGTGGTGGCCTTGCCACACTGAAACAGCCCAGCACACCCAGCTCCTGCCCTGCCCGGCCCTGCACTTCCTGGCCCTGCCCTGCCAGGGCCAGGCCTCTCGCTCCGCGGCTGCATGGCACTGGCTGCTCCAACCTCGTCTTGAGCAACGCTGCCCGCTGTCCACCCTCCTGTAATGGCTCTTTCAGTCAGCACTGTGTCCCTGAGGTCCTTGCCTGCTGCAGCAGGTATCAGAGCCCCTCCTTGTCAAGGCTGCATGGTGGTCCACTGTGTGCACCGACCTTTGCTTCTCTGCTGGACACGGTGTGGCTTCTTGGCTGCCATGTGTGGTGCCCCGAGGTTGCGGATGTGTGGGACCCGTGGACTTAACACACTCTGTGCATCTCTGTCAGTCGTCATTCTTATTCTTCT